ACCTGTTTCCCAATTATTTTTTTTTCGTTATTTACACAACTGTCAGAGGACCCTTCAATAAATTTTGGATAATGCTATTTATCAACCACCAGTTTATGTGTCATTACAATGACATTAAAATGACGAGTCCAATAAAATGTGAGGTAGATCCATTTTATGGAACTTATCACTAGTTTTCAGCTAAACATAATTATAAATGATAAACTTTAAGATCCCTTGAGGAAGTCTTGTTGAACTGATAAAGAAAAATAGAAGTCATAATTTAGAATTAGTTTTGAAAGAATGATTATCGTATGGCTATTATGAAATGGACAAATTGTACACCTGTTTTCCAATTTATTTATTTTTCGTTATTTACAATATATATTAATCACTTTTCCAATTATATCTTCACATTAAAATATTTTCTTACTGTAAAAAGAAAAAAAAGAAGCCATTTCTGTCACTCAAGATTAAGATAGCTATAGCCTATTTTCTTACAAGTTGTATGCGTTCATTCACAAAAGAAAAAGAAAAAAAAATGTAGGGCAGGATTCAAACCACAACTATTATAAATATCAATATTTTATTTATATTTAATGCAATATTACAATATGCATGACTTTTCTTACCTGATTATTGAAAAGATAATCTATGCACCCCTCTCTTTACCAACTATATTTTTTAACCAAGCCTTGAGGAGGAGGAGGAGGAATTTGATTGCCAAAATAGATCCCATCTGCCTTGGCAACCCATAAGCATATATTGCCATCTATTTTTCTTCTATCAGTTAGGCAATTTGGTGCAACATCAATATCAAAAACAATAAAAGCTTTATCCTTTGAACCCCACGCCAAGTGACAAAAGAAAAGAGTAGTTTGAAAAAAATTTAGTCGAAAATGCCAATGAAAATCATTATTCACATAAAGTGTGTGATTTCCAAGATCATCGTCTTTGGAGGCACAATGAATTAACAATGGAAGTGCGAATTTTGGAAGGTTATTAACAACATGAACCTCAAATCCTAGGAGATCCAAATCTACGCCAGTGGTGCGAATAAGGTTCAACGAAAGGACAACTAGATAGCAAAAAAGGACTTTTTTAATTAAAGTCATTTCAGAATATTTGAAATATAGTAGCTGTTTTATGTTGTTGAGCTTGTCATTTTTATAGTTAGTTCTTGCACTAGAGTTGCAAGGTATCACTATAATTTTATTATGGATTGATAAAATTAGGGAGAGATTACAAATTATAGCTTATAATCTCATTTACAACTATATCTTGTGGTTCTAATATGAATTATATATGTATATTCATCAATCATTTACAATTATGTTATAGTAAGTTGTCATAGTTGTCTCACATGTTATTACTGTAATTTGACCTTTGATTGGAAAAACTAAGAAAAAGGATTATAAATTATAGCTCATATTTTCATAAATATTAATATTACATCTTATTGTTGTAATTTAACTTTTGACTGGAAAAATTAATTAAGAAATGGATTACAAAGCATAGCTTAAAACTTCATAAATATTCCATACTATACACAATAATTTAGATGTGTGAAATGAAGTTGGGTGTAGATAAGCTAGTCACGTAAATCAATATATTCATACATCTAAATAAAAAACTTATGAAGTGATGTAGCGAGAGCGTGAACACACAATATCTAGCAAATACTAGTGCACAAATATTGCCCTTCGATCTTGCAAAATTGAAGAAGTGTCTTCAATATATTAAATTTTTAATGAATGTTCAACATCCCAGAACCAGGAAAAATAAGAGTTTTGTAGTTCTTCAGACTTAGAAACCCTACCACTGCCATAAGACGATAATAACCTTTAGACATTCTCTACTATATACTACACGTATAAAATAAGACTCAAATGGAAAAAATAAAATAAAAGGAGCATGAATGGTTATGCCACATGAACATTGTTAAGTCCAAATTATAATTGGCAATTTCTAACCCCCAGGGCACATCTCCAAGTGGTAAAAGAGGAAGGTGGAAAAACTCCAACTTTGCTTGAGGCTGCCGCGTCAAGGGTTCAAATCCTGAAATATGGATTTGGCATTTGGGTAAGTGCAAGTGTACAAGCAGCCTTCCACCATGTACCCTTGGAAGCATAACCTGCGATTTACCTCCTTCACCAAGGCTCAAGGCAGGGCAGGTGGGGGCCGCCAAGGATGCGGTTCATCCTTTTATAATTGGCAATTTCTAAATTTGTAATGGCAATTTCCTCAGTCAAAATCAAGTCCTAATTGAATTGTATTAAATGTTTGTGGAGTTGTAATCAAAGTCAAAATAGGAGTCACAGAATCCTAATTAAAGTCAAAAGAGTTGGGTTGGTAGTATAGTTCTTAAAATAGTTCAAGAAGATTACATATGATCATTTAAATGCATTTAAAAGTCTAAAGAGTGTCAAAGAGCCGTACAAATTATGCTTCAAATTCTTAGTCTCAATTTGCAACGCATTTTTCACATAGAAAACATTTGAATTTGGATAAAGCTAAGAAAAAATGTATCCCTTTGCGTTAGATTTCCAACACATTTTGAATAATCTCAATCGGATATTGGGAGAAAAAGTTATGATAAAAATAATGACGATTGCTCAACTATTGCTCGCCTGTCGCTAGCTTGGCGCTCGAACGAGAGGTCAACTTTTAGAATTCTATTTTGCTTCAAACACATGGTTTTTCAATTCATTTCATCCCCCATATATATATATATATATGTATGAACATCCAAAAGATTGTTGAATCAGATTTATTCCATAGAAATCAATTCTTTGATGATCCAAAACATTTTTTGATTCCAAGATTCAACCACCACATTATTTGAGCCATAATTTCATCTAAACTTTGATATGTTGATTTAGCCATATTGTTTCATATTAAACCACATATCAAAATACACAAGATCTTTTGATCAAACACCAAATCATTTAATCAACCGGATAGAAATTGATACCAGGGATCGGAAGCTGTTACAGAAGCACAAATTCAGGAGGACTAAGGTGACATGTTAGGAGTCAGGATCTAGCATAATGAGCACGTTGTCCGGAGGGTTAAGGTATAAACCAGGAGTCGAGATTTGTTTTAAATGAGCACCTCTCCAGTAGGATCAAGGGAAACTGGAGGAATTGAGGTCAGAAGTTCTACGAGATAGACGGGTCTCGACTATACTGTAAGTTTACTTCAATTTATAGTGGATTAATGACTAGTAAAGTGCCCGAATTTTTATCCAGTTGGAGTTTCTCCATGATCACCTTTAGTGTTCTTTACTGCTTTAATTATTGATTGTGGTATTCAAACTTTGGATAAATTAACTTGTTTGATCTAATCATCTAAAAACAATTAAAAAGTAAATTGTTTCTTTTAATTGTGTAATTCTGCACACGAGTCTAAATAATTTAAAATTTCAAACATGAACTCTTCATATTGGAAAATAAAAAAATATAAAAAGAGAAAAAATAAAGATGGGTTAAATCGAGAAAAAGGGACCTCCGAGGTATTGGTAGTTCAATGAAGGGTAATTAGCAGAAATGGTCCCTATCGTTTACATNGGAAGGGTAATTAGCAGAATTGGTCCCTATCGTTTACATTCATTGCTAAAATAGTCCCTATCGTTTCAATTTTGATATATATACCCTAATTTCAAACCTTTGTTGCGGAATTGGTCATTTCCGTCCACTTCCGTTAAATCCTCCATTAAATGAGGTAAAATGATTTTAAATTTTTCTTATTTTGTCTCAATTTTATGAGATTATTATGGGATGTCAAACAAAATCGAAATATTCTATTTTTAATACAATTTTGAAGTGCTCACAACCTAGATTCATCCATCCCTAACGGCGTGCGAAACGACCAACCGTGGCGAAAGTTACTACTCGTCGAAGTAGGCTGTTCCAAAATATATAAACGATTTTTTATTTTTGTCTCAATTTTGTGGGATTATTATGGGATGTCAAATGAAGTCGAAATACTGCATTCTTATTACCATTTCGAAGTGCTCACGACATAGTTTCCCCCATCCCTAACGGCGTGCGACATAGCCTACTTTGACGAGTGGTAACTTTTGCTACGTTTGGTCATTTCGCACGCCATTAGGGATGAGGGAAACTAGGTCGTGAGCACTTTGAAATGGTAATAAGAATGCAGTATTTCAACTTCGTTTGACATCCTATAATAATCCCACAAAATTGAGACAAAAATAAGAATATATATTTTGGAACGCCTACTTCGACGAGTGGCGACTTTTGTTACGGTTGGCCGTTTAGCAGGCCGTTAGAGGTGGGGAAAACTAGGTCGTGAGTATTTCTAAATAGTATTAAGAATGCAGTATTTTGACTTTGTTTGAAATTCCGTAATAATCCTACAAAATTGAGACAAAAATAAGAAAAATCGTTTATATATTTGGAACGGCCTACTTCGACGAGTGGTAACTCTCGCTACGGTTGGCCATTTCGCAAGCCATTAGGGATGGGCCAAACTAGGTCGTGAGCACTTTGAAATGGTATTAAGAATGCAGTATTTCGACTTTGTTTGACATCCCATAATATTCCCGTAAAATTGAGACAAAAATAAGAAAAATTCAAAACCATTTTACCTCACTTAATTGAGGATTTAACGGAAGGGGATGGAAAGGACCAATTTCGCAACAAATGTTTGAAATAAGGGTAAAAATATCAAATTTAAAATGATAGGGACTATTTTAGCAATGAATGTAAACGTTAGGGACCATTTCTGCTAATTGCCCTTCAAGGAACTGATAAACTTCCCAAACACAAACAAGAATTTTCCAAAATAACTCATTTGATATTTCGTAGTTTTGGGATCAATTTCTAACATAGAAATGGTCAAGTCGAAAATTTTATATTTGGGCCGGATTTTGGTTTTTATTTAGGGAAAATTACATAAAACCAGGGGTTTACTTTCACGTTTTAAAAAAAAAAAAAACAGGCTTTAAGTTTATTTTTGCAAAAATCAGGTGGCATATTAAAACCCTACTTCTTAACCTAATTTTTCAATTCCTCTACACCATTCCCGTCGCCTCCCTTCTCCCTCCTCTCCTCTCCTCCCCCTCCCTCCCATCTCCACCCAAATCCACAGCAGCATCGCGATGCTGCTATGGGTGTGTAGCGTTGAGATGTGCTAGAGGAGGAAGGCGATGAGGTGGAAGGTACGAAGAGTTCGGAGAAATCAAAATTCGGTGGAGGATCAGTTGACGAAGAAGAGGCTGGGATGTGGAGGTGGGTGAGCTTAGAGGCTAAAATTGAGTGAAGGGCCTTCTTATGTTGTTGGGATGCTGCCGAAGAAATCACAGTCCCGATATTCATGGTGGAATCAAATTTAATTTTTCACCCTTGAGAGATTAAGTTACAGTTTGTGGTGGCCAAAATTGTACAAAGCGGCTGAGATCTTACATAGGATTACATTTTGGATATGTGTTGGGGGAATGGATTTGCGACTGCTTGCCGAAATGAGGGTGGGTGGGACGGTTGGAGTGAAAGGCCCGTTTGGGAACTGCTGCTGTGGATGTAGGTCCTGGCAGGAGAAGGTATTCTGATGAATATAACTTGATGGGGTCAAAAAATTCTGAGAGGAAGGAGAAGAACTGGGTCCTCCAAAAATCATGGTTCAGATTGGAACCTAGAATTTGTGAGGTGGTTTGGACGGTTCTGTGTGGTGGTGGTGATGGTGTTTGTGTGGTGGCTATTTTGTGTTGGTGGTGGTGATGGTGTTTATGTGGTAGCTGTTTTGTGGTGGCGGTGGCGGTGGTAGTGCGGTGGAGGTGGCGGTGGCAATTATTTGGTTAATTATTGTGGCGGGGTCAACAGCGGTGGTGGTTCTTTTTGATGTCTGTGACCTAGCTATTGAATTGTGACTTTAAAATTAATAATTTGCAACTAAAAAAAGTATCTGTACCAACCAATTTGAAAATATGTAACATGTGAAATATAATTTTTTTGATCTATGACCAATAAAATAATCTGTGACATATAAAATTTTAGATTTGTGACTTGAAATAATTCGTGACCTACAAAATTTTTGATCTGTGACCGATAAAAAAACTATAATCTATAAAATTTCGATCTGTGACTTCAAAATAATTCGCGACCTACAAAATTTTTGATTTGTGACCGATAAAAAAACTGTGACCTATAAAATTTTAGATCTATGACCTCAAAATAATCCGCGACGTACAAAAATTTTGATATGTGACCGGAGAATAGTTGCCGGAGTGGTCGCCGGTGCAGAGGTGAGGTGAGGTGGGGTGGGGTGGGGTGGGGCGGTTAATTATATTATATTACAGTTAAATATTTAATTGAATATAATAATTGTGAAATGTAATTAATTAATTTATGAAAAACCTAATTTTTGCAATTCTAAACCTTGGGGCCTGATTTTTGATATTAGGATAGATAAAGCCTGAGTTGTGAATTTTTCCCTTTTATTTATTTATTCACAATCAATTTATTTCCATATTGTTCCATCAAAAAAAAAAAAATTTTATTTCCATATTGTGATTAGGAGGAAATTTGTTTTGATTAGGTTTCTTAAAGTTTTCCCATGGTTAGTTGTTACCTGGTTACTTTTTATTAAAGATAATACATAAAATATTGTGAGATGAGTTCTCCATATTTTTGCCCAAGTTCTCAATATTCTATGAATCAACGAGTTTTTGAAGTATAAATCATCATTATACATATTCTACTATATCATTTTTGTTATTAGAGCACATCCACATTCCTGACAGGTACCGTGCTGTTCGTGAAATATAGATGGGAAAATCATGCGACATGATGAAATAGAACATTTGTGTCTACAAACGATAGTGTTGGATTGCATCAACAAATGGAAGTGTTGAAGCATCTAATAAACTATTTATGTTATCAAACCAACATATAGACACAGAAGTTGACAAATCTTAGGAGAAGAATCTGGTGACGGCGTTTAAACCGTATTAATTATGGGACATTGGATATCTAGGCACAGTTAGTCATGTAGAAGTGGATGAATAATAACAACTTTACATGCAAAATCGATCATACGAGCAATGCTTATAGGCTATACCCACTGATAAAATCAAGGAGGGAAGCTGAAATTTAATCTGGAAATAAAACAGACAGAAATAAAGGAGGATAGGCCTGCTGTAAATGCAGGGAAGATGATGAAGTTTTCATTCATTCATGCTTGAGAAATTACAAGGCAATCTATCCTATTTATAGAGGAAATAGACAACAAACTATCTAACAAACTAACAATATAACAAACAAAGGAAGGAACTAGAATATGCTAGAGTGAAGCTGGAAGAAGAGCTGAATTCTGGTGAACTGTGAACATGCTGGAGAACTGGAGAGAATGAGTTGAACTGGAGAGATGCTTTGCTGAACTGGAGGCTGGGAACAAGTGCTTGCTGGTGAACTGATTGGATTGCTGGTTTGCTGAATTGTTAACTGGAGAGTTGCTGGTGGTTTGCTGATTGTATAGTTGGTTAATATTCCAACACCCACTTAGTCCACTAGTTTTGGGATCAAATTATATATAATGTATAGTCGTCAAATGGAAAGTTTTTTGGACTAACAAATAATACAAGAAAAATAATGGTTTGTGAGGTCAAATTGACATACTTAAATTTCTAGCTTAAAATAATTTGACAAAAATAAATTTGGTGGAAGCGAATTTAAAACGAGTTTGGCTTGCTTTGATATTCTTAGAATTAGTATTTTTCCCCGAGATAATAAATGGCGATTTAATTCTTCCCACTTTAAGTGGCGATCGAGTTAGATTTTTGTCGACATATATGGTTATTGATTGTAATAATATGAAATTTGAAAAATCGGGTATCGCACTAGATACCACTTAACAGTTCACGGATTATCAATTTAAAGACTTTTAAGTTATGGAATGCTTGTTACTTATCATTTTTTTAGTTTGACCCTATGTGCGGATTTAATCAATTAAAAGCAACAAGTCACTTTTAATTGTTTCTAGATGATTAAGCATACAATTCCGATTATCTTATGTTTGAATACCGCAGTAATAAGGAAAGTAATCATAAACACCGACATGATGACGGAGAAACCTCAATTGGGTAAAAACTTTGGGACCAAGCTAGTTAACTCTACTATAGACAATACGGAATGAGTTACAGTTAGATGCTATCTAGTCAACTCCACTAGATTTTTCGATCTATTTCCTGCTAACTGCAAGGTTTGCTCCAAGATTTGTTGCAATTGTCTCTTTCCAGCGGAATTCCAAGAACTTGCTCCAATGCCTTATTCTCTTCCTGCCCTTGTAGTCCAACATCTTTCAACCTCCAGCGGCCTCTGAAGTTCGCCTCTGAAGTTTAACTGAGAAAGTGTCCTTCCAAAAGTGTTTAGGAAGTAGGTATTATGGATTCAATGGATTTAATGTTTTTCCCAATTCTGTGGTTGTATAAAATTAAGAAAAAATAGATTATAGCAAAGAGGCACAATGAGCAACCACATTGATTTTCTTGTATAGGTTTGGATATTTATAGGAGAGAGTAATTAGGTTGAATTGGTCGGAAAAAAAATACTTCGAAACAGCAAAAAAGAGTTTTTCAGATCGATTTGTCTCAGCAACGGCAAGTGACGCAGCGTCGTTCGAGCGAGAGTTTGGCGGCAGACGGGCGATATGCAATCTGTTTTTGTCGCTCGAGTTCCAATTGGGAGAGAAGTTAGGCAAAATGCGGCGCCGTGTTTTCCCTCTTTTCATGCTTGAACCCTAGATCTCATAACCCAATTTGTACAAATTACACACTAGGTCTTTGACTTTTACAGTACCTTAGAAATTAGTCATTTTATCTACAAAATCGCCAACACTAAAAACCTAACAAACTCAATAATACTTTTATTGGTTTTTTTGTATTAGAAATTGATCCAATAATTATAAGTAATGTATTACATGTATAATATATTATTTTGCAAATAATTTTATTTCACACCTTAATTTTCTAATGAATTCATGTTCTCAATCTAGAAAATCCAAATTTTCATACTAGAATATACACGGAATAATTCCCTTAATATCTACATTAAAATTTTGAAATTTTAAAACGAGAACTTCAAACACAAAGATAAATAACAAGGAGAAGTAAAGCCACAACCCTAATAATATCACAATAGGGAAAGTATGCACCCATTTTATTTCCAATCATATTCTTTTAGCCCTCCATAATATTTAATTTGATTCATCAAATAGAATCCATCTGCCCGGACGGACCATACACATGTACGGCAACGCAGAGACATATCATAATTAAAAACTTCAAACGATTTATCCTTTGAATTCCACCAAAAGTGACAGAAGAACATAGTCGATCCCCAAAAATTCATTTGGAAATGCCAATGAAAATCATTATTCACGTAAAGTGTGTGATTTCCTAGATTGTCGTCTCCTGAAGCGCAATGAATTGATAATGGAGGTGAATTCCGCGGAAGGTTATTAACAACATGAACATCATATACAACACTTTTGGTGCAAATCAGGTTGATTGACAGAACGAGTAGATAGAAAAACAATTTCTTTGTAACTGAAGTCATTTTTGGACTGTAAGCGTTTGAGGTTTAACAACGTTAAACTTGACCATTTTGTAGAGTGATTCTTGCACTGCAATTGAAATGTATCACTATAATCTAATTACATAATAGAAAATTAGAGAATGATTACAAATAAAAGCTTATAGTGAATTATGTAAATTCATCAAACTGTTTACACTCATTTTATAGTGAATTGCTCCAATTATTTTACCCATTGTTACTATAATTTGAATTTTGGGAAGAAAAAAAATTATATATTACACATATACCCTAAATTCTTGAAGTGTAAAGTTTGGTGAATAAAAATCAGAATAAGTGAGTTACTTATTTAAATCAATATAATATTTATGAATTTAGATAAAATAGGTTGTTGTGTTAATTATTGACTCAAATTAGGAAATATAATTAAGTAGGAACCCATGTAGAAATTAAATTAAATTTTTAACTTGTAAAATGATTGCTGGTTACAGCTTATAATTATGTAAATATTTCATAGATACCCTATAATCTAAAAGTGTCAGGTTTGGTGAATTGAAATCAACGTAAATGAGTTATTTAAATCGGTATAATATTCATGGATTTTTTTTTCGGTTGATGAGATTTAAACCAGACTTTGATTCACTTGGATGCAATTGGAGTGAAAAATGTGAAATTGGAGGTGATTCGGAGTAATTGACGATCAATCAACTGCAATTGCTCAATATAAAAAAATAAGGGATCAATTGCAGGAGAATCATAAGTTTTGCAAGTTAAATCCAATAAACCCTAGAGAATAAGTTGTGGGAAAATAGGAGTTCAAAACTGCATTTAAAAATGAAAATGGGCTTGTGCCAGACAGGCGGGTGAGAGGCGAGCAACAGAGTAGCGCCAAACGAGCAACTAAGTATTGGGTTTTTTTTTTTCCGGGCTCGCTCGAGCATTTAGCTAGCGCCAGTATAACAAAAATGCGACGACTTTTTTTCCGGTCCATAATTTTGATATCTTCAAGACTACTCCAATTTAGATTCCAATACTTACTAGAATTTGGGTCAAACCATAACATAATAAATCGTGTTTCTTCAAGAAAAC